CTTTCTACATATATAAGTAAAGCTAAATTTAAAATCACCTATCATTTTCCATTAACAATAAAGTGTACTCTTTTTTATACAAAAATTACAGGACTCTGGTGTTCTATATTTGCCATTTATGAATATGACTGTTTGAATGGGTCAAAAAAATGTATTTATATATTTATACCACAACTCTAGTACTCATAACTCATATTTTGGAGAGCCATCTAAGATGGTACGGTCATGTCATGCGGCGACCATCAGACCACATGACAAGAACAGTGCTTGACATAAGTACCCAGCCCTGAAGATACGGCAGACCCCGTCTCACAAGGATGTCGGTTATTGAGAAGGAAATAAAAAGCGCCAAAATAACATCCCAGACGACCCAGGACAGAACATCCTGGCGAACACTGACCAGACGGGCCGACTCCAAATACATGGGACGAAGGCCAGGCAAAAGAAGATCTCTAGTACTCATAACTCAAGCTCGGCTTAGCGTGGGACTAGATGGTGCTGCTGAATTGTCGTAGGATAATATTATTATTATTTATAATGTAAGGAAAACAAATTCATACTTTGAATAAGTTTGTCTATGACTAAAATAGAAGAGAAGAAACGAATATCACAGTCATTCAGCAACCTCGTAAAATTGAGTGGCAGTGGAATTGTAAACCTATGAAATCCAAGCCATAAATAAGTTTCGAAATATTTTAAAGCTATTTATTTGATGGCCAGTAACCGATTTTTATTGGGCTGTAATAAAAGATTTGCTGTTTCATGTTTTAAAGCATTTTAAATTATGTATGAGATAGTAGATATATATGTATATTTTTTGTAATTCTGTTAATATTTCTAAAGTACTTAAATATTGTACTATAAGGTCCGGAAGACAGCCTGGAGATCTGTAGTACAGGCTTCGATCTAGTTTAGACTCCAGACTCTCACAAGTACTAACTATTGTTTACTTAATTATGTATCTATAAATTATATAGATATTTTAAAAATAGGCGACGGTGCATATTGCTCTCAAAGGGTTAGATTGCTTGGCATTAAAATTATTTAAAAAAAACAGGTTATCAAGCGATGCACCGTAGCACCTTCATTTTTGTCTATCCGAGAGATACCGTATCACACTATAGTTCCGTATTCCGAATACTTCTCTATAAGCAGTTTGTATAGCCGGCTTGCTTAGTGGAGCAAAAGGGCGATTGTTATACTGGCCACCAATAAAAACCAGACGCCACTTAAATTTCGAATTAAAATATAATAATAATTTAAAATAAAAACGGAAAGAAAAAGGACGCTCAGTATTTTTACTATTTTGAGGCAAGAAAATGATTTATTCATATGATTAATTATAATTGTTTTTAATATAATATACACTCTTACTGTGCATGGTCACTAAACTGTGTACTACACGACACGACGGTCCTAAGCAAAGGTGAGTAAGTTTAGTGTTACTTTGCTTACTTTGGGGTGTTCGGAGGGTGGAATACGTTCTAGCTAAGCGAATTCGTAATCCAACAGCTCTTAACTATAATATCTTACACTTCAACTGAAATAGCTTGCAATGCAAGATGCTACGTGTCTGAGGTACTTTGTACCTTTGATAGTAGCTTAGCTGAAGTGGATACTATCGCGCTACAAATTCATCATATACCTATGTATAACGCTACGCGTTATTATATATGACGTGATGAGGTATCGCTACTTAATTTATTTGTTTCCTGTAGTAACTAGGTAGACAGTATACAGTTGTCATAATTGAGTTCAATTACATTGGTAAGTTTGACGATAGTGTGCTATATGCATTATTAGTACACTCTACACGGAGTCGTAACGTGGAATGACATTACACTGTAGTGAAATTTATATAGTTCGAAGACGAAAACTATAAGTATAGGAAGGGTGACAAGTGTTGACAGAAATTTATGAATAACAATGGAATAGTTCATCTATATTATAGATACGCCGACGGTGCTCCTGTGGTGGATGACAACAAAGTCAAGTCAATTAGCCCATTGCGGTATATTCAGCATGGATTAACCACAGTTTCCAGGAGAATCCCCGTGGAAGTCGACCGGATGTGGTTCTTGATAAATTGCTAGTGAAATAGTAATGGGCTAACTGACCTGACCTCATGCTCATCTTATTATCCTGTACTGGTCCCCTACCACCGTAAATCGCTAACGCAGATAGGAACAAACGCAACAATAATAATCTACACATTTTGACAGGAGAGGAACCGCGACTACACATTCTATGTGGTTGTAGCCCACTCATGAATAAACGAAAAATCTCAATACTCAATACTCAATACTCAATATTTATTGCATTCCATAATATTACAGTGAAAGATGTTTATAATACGTTTTCGATCATTATGGACCCTGTTAGGGCACGCAAACATAACATTATTATTACTATTATTATAAATAGTTATAACATATAATTTAATATTATTCATCCAGTTATACATTGTAATATACATTAATTAAATGTTACATAAAAACTAAAATACATCATTCAAATAATCACTTACATTATAATATTGTTTTTTACATAGTAAATCCTTTAAGTATTTTATAAATAGGCTATTCTTATTTAAAGTTCTTATAGAAGTTGGGAGTTGGTTAAATATTTTAATAGACGATACCAAGGGGCCACTAGAATGTAATTTGAGACGAGAGGTGGGTAATTGTATTTTTTTATTATTACGCAACGCGTAATTATAGTCTGTGTCTTCTCGCAACTTGTACAGTTCCGGATATTTTTTTACAAATTTACACACTTCCAAAATATAGATGCAAGGCAGGGTGAGTATTTTATTTATTATAAAATAAGGTTTACAGCTATCTCGGCTTCTTATGTTAAATATTATTCGTATTAATTTCTTCTGGAGAGTGAACAGAACAGATGCGTCCACGCTGTTCCCCCACATAACCACCCCATAACTGAGCCATGCATGTGCAAACGCATAATAGGTGGAAAGGGCAGTAGAGACGTCTGTAGTCCTTTTCACTTCCCGAAGAGCATAAACGAAACTAGACATTTTTGTTTTTATCTTTTGTATGTGTGCTTTCCAATGTATATGGGTATCTATTACTAAACCTAGAAGTGTAAATTCATTAGCTGTTTCTATTGTGATGTTGTTAAATTTAAAGTTTATATTTAGGGGTTGTTTTTGATATGGATGAAAGCTGATGATTTTAGTTTTTGAAAAGTTAATAACTAGATTATGTAGATTCATCCAATTTACTATTTTTTCCATAATTTTCTGTAATTTATCGTTTAAATCAATGTTAATATCATATGAAGTCAAAAGTGACACATCATCCGCAAACAATACGCACAGTTCGTCTATAATTTTTGGCAGATCGTTTATATATATTAAGAACAATAAGCATCCAATTACACTACCCTGGGGTATAGAAGCGTTTGTAACCGTACCACTTGATCTTATAGTTTGTATTTGTTTAGTGTCATAATTGAAGTATTCGATTTCTACAAATTGTTCGCGATCTGCCAAATACGATTGAAACCATTCATGAGTTTTTCCTCTAATGCCAATTCCATATAATTTATTCAGTAATATGTTGAACTGTACTCTGTCATAAGCTTTGGACATATCTAGTAATATACCTATAGCATATTTTTTGTCATTTATGATATTGAGAATATCCTGTATATATTTGAATATTGCTAAGGTTGTGGATCGATTTTTACGAAAACCATTTTGAGAGTCATGAAAGATATTATATTTTTCGCAAAATTTATAGACGCGTACACACATGGCTTTTTCGAAAATTTTTGAAATTGCTGGTAAAAGCGCTATCGGACGGTAGTTGTTAGGATCTGTTTTTTCGTTCTTTTTATGCATTGGTTTTATGAGAGATTTTTTTAGTTCATTCGGAAATATTCCTTCGGTAAATGATTGATTTATAAGAAGGCTGAGTGGTAAAGCTAGTTCAGTGGCACACTGTTTGATCAGTTTCGGTGGCATTTCATCAATTCCTGAGCTTATTTTATTTTTTAAGTTTTTAATGATCGTGTATACTTCTTGGGTATCTACCGGTCTAAGAAATAATGTATTTTCGATGGAATGAAGTATGGGATAGCCAAGCACAGAATTTGTGTTTACACTTCCGATAGATGTAAAGAAGCTATTAAAAGTATTTGCGACTTTAAATGGATCAGTAATGACATTATCATTTAATTTTAATTTTATGTTGCTCTTATCCATGGTTTTTTTCTTGTTTGTACGCTCATTAATTATACTCCACATAGTGTTCATTTTATTGGACGATTTTTTCATTTTATTTATATAGTCTAATTTTTTTGCATTATTTATTGTTTTTTTTAACAATTTTTCGTATTTTTTATAATAATTATTTAGTATCGGATTTTTCGTTTTTGATGCAAGTATCTTTAAATGTCTTTTATTTTGGCAAGAGACTTTAATACCCTTTGTAATCCAATATTTTTTATGTTTTGTTTTCACATTTATTTTACGTTTAGGTATGCATTTATTAAGCGTTTGGATTAAAATATTATTGAATCTATTATAATTTTGATTTATGTTATTGTCTGATTTTATTATATTGTACCAGTTAATGTCCATTAATTTTGATTTAAAATTATCCATATTATTTGTATTATAAAGTCTTTTTTCAAGGTACCAAGTTGACTGCCTATTTTGAAAGTGTAATTTTATTTTTATAATTGTTGCGGCATGATCTGAAAATCCCAACTCCTCAACTATTGTAGATACGTTATTTTTATCAATATTAGAAAATATTAAATCTATACATGTGGCAGATGATTTCGTAATATGTGTAGGACAGTTTATAAATTGTTTCAAGTTATATTCTGACATTGTACATAAGAAATTATTCGTTTTTGCATTTTTTATTAGAATGTTTATATTAAAATCTCCACCCAATATAATTTTGTGCTTTGGATATTTGGTGTTTATAAATTTCAATATTCTCTGTAATTGTATATTAAATATCTCTTCCTCTCTTCCATTCCAATACATTACAATCAATAATGTATCTATTTTGGTTAATTCTGTTGCGCAAACTTCCAATACGTATTCTCTAGACATTTCGGAGATCTCCTTCACTTCTATGTTTTCAATATTTTCCTGCAGTAGAATACAGACGCCTCCTCCGCATCTTGTTTCTCGACAGAAGGAAGCTGCCTTTATATATCCGCTAAGAGCAACTAGCTTATACTTTTCCTTTGTCAGCCAAGTTTCAGTTATACAAATTGCTTCGTAGATTGGATGCTGATTTATGAAGGCTTCTAATATATTTTGTTTATTATAAAGACTTTGCAAATTTTGGAATATTATACTAAAGCACGGATCGATTTTTGCGAAAGGTACGAAAGGTACTAATTCTATTATTATTTGTTGCTAAGTTTATTTGACTATTGTTAAATTCTACTGTATTATCATGCTCTTCGCCATTGCTAGTTTCAAAAATCGTTTTTTCCTTCTTTTGCCAGTTAATCCTTTTTCCATCCACAAATAGTTGATTATTACGTATTATTGCATGATTTCCTCTATTCCTAGATAGAAACATTTGTTCTCGCAGAGCCATTTTTTCCTTTTGAGCGTCTCTATCTAAGTACTCAGAGATGTATAATCCAGTACCATAAAAATATCGACTACTATTTATTATGTATTTCACCATTTTTTTACTTAATAACTCGATAACCAAGGGTCTATTTGTATTATATTTTTTACCAAGCCTATATATGTCGTCAATGTATCCCACCAAGTTTATATTTGCTATGTCTTGAAAAGTTTGTAGTAGTCTATTGTATGCATCGGTCTCATGTTCCCTATTATATTCAGTAAAACCATACAGTACGATTTTCCTACTATTGTTTTGAAGTTTATCGTAGTAATTCCCTGGGTTTGACATTTTTATTTGAAGTTCACGTAATTCTTTTTTTAGTTTATTATTTTCTTGTGTAAGTTGTTCTATGTCTGTATTTATCTGATCTATATCAGTGTTTATTTTTTCGTTCTGCTTGTAAATGTTGTTTATTGGTTGACCCAAATTTTCTTTAAGATTGTTTATTATTTTTTCTACAGCTTTATCAATTTCACTTTTCATTATATTTTTTAAATCGCTACTAAGAATTGTGTTATTCTCCTCCAATCGTGAAGTTATAATCTCATCTATGCTTACCATGTTTAGTTCTGTGTTTTCAATGCTTTTACTGGAATGTAGTGTTTCACGAAATTTATCGGAACTCTCCAATCTATTCGATAATGCTACTTTTTTTCTTATAGTGATGTTGCTTTCACTTTGTGGGGTACCAATATATTGCCGGACGCTGCTATTAGGATTTAGTTGTGTAGATTTTGTATTATTTGTTATAGGTGTACTATCTGGTATATTAGTAGTTTTACATTTTTTACACTTCCATTTCTTTTTGTGTGACAATGTCATTGTGTTATAAAAGCGCTGAACAGATACATTTGCACATTCCAAATCATATATGTTATTGCAGATTGTACAGACTAAATGTTCTCTGTTAGGAAGTTTGTGATGGCAGCTGGAACATTGTGTCGCCATCTCGAGTTTATACTGTATACTCCCAATTGATCGTATGAAGCAAATTACTTTTTTCCGTACTTTTGTTAATAGATAGCGCTGAGCACATTTAAATGCGATTCAAAATTAGCATTACGCATTCCGCTATTTGGCATACAAAAAGTTCACCATAACTGGATACGATCTCACGGCTACGAGATAAGAGTTTGGTTTGCTGACCACTAGGCCACCAAACAACTACTTGCTTTGGCGAAATTTAGAACTATGAGTTGAATTAGATATGTAAGATATCTTTGATTCTTTCAAGTAGTGTCTTCGAAGGTCCAAAGTCCAATTTTTTATTATTCTGACGGTTGGTTGATCGTTTGTAATGAAGTTGAAATGTTCGATTTTAATCGATCTTCGTTGTTATTTACACTTTCACTTTATACATAGTTTTCTTCTAGAGAGTTTATATATTGTATATCAGTTACTAACTTTAAATCCACTTTTCACTAGGGCACGAAAGTTATTGGTATCTTTCGTAAGTTACAATTCGGCATTATGACTAAACTATTTGCTATAACTCTTCATAGGAACACTTATAATAAATACATTTTTTCTCAAGAATTTCGTTTATAAATATTATTCGTTTCTACGCAATTAAAGTGCAAATTATCGTTATTAAAATATTTTTAAAAATTATATATTCAGAGCGATGTCGTTTCGGCTTGAACGCACGTCACTCACCCTCATCTCCTTTGGAAAGTATACACTCTATCCTGAGGAGATAAAAACCATCGCTCCTAAAATATGCTTAAATTCTTGTCCCACATAGGTCTAGATAGCGAACTTTGAAAAAAGGTCAGTACAATAGATCTACGCAGATCGCAGTGTTACAGATCTTAACACCGGAAAATAGCCATAAACTCCCAATAAAAAAACTCAGGCGGGGGTAGCATACCATAGAGTAGCATATCATCCATTAAAAAAAATTCAACGTGGTCACTATTATTAACAATCCCCTCACCCCTATCTCCCATGTTGCTAACCCCTGCCAGATGAGGTTTTTTGGGTCAAAGTACCCAGTAATTTAACTAGCATATCTCACCCTCCCGTACAGCAGGGTGATTGATGCTTTTACTATGTAGTAAAAGTTTGTGTGATAGCCTCCTATCTGACCTATTTCCACAGAGCAGCAATGAACACGATACTGTGGTCTAGTAATTTTATCTAGGAACTTTTAATTTATTACAGAATTGTTTAATGTCAGTTGATTTTTAAAAATACCATAATTGCAAAGAAAGTGTAGTCTATATACTATATGTATATATGTAAACCTCCATATAAGTTGGACTTCATTTTCCGTAATCAATCTCTCATCTGGGCCGTCTATAAAAAAGAAGTGTCTGTTTTTAATATCAAATCAAGCTTTTTATAAAAGTATGTCAGTACCTTAAATCAACAAGTAATTTATAAAAAAAATATCTGTCTATCTGTATGTTTTTTTTGCTAATCTTTGATATGGCACGGCCAAGTTTAAACTTTCACTCATTGATAGATAATGTTATAAGGAGTAAAGAATAATTAAATCCCATGCGAACGAAGATGCGTATATGGTATACGCATTAGCTATCTAGCTAGTAGAATCTAAAACGATAATAATTGTTACAACTCCCGTGGTTTTGTACTCGCTAATCTAAAAATGTATCTTTTTATTTATTAAAGTTAATTGACAGTTCATGGCGCCATCAGTAACAAAATAACGAAATCTTACGCGTACTTATATAGGTATTTGTTAAAGCAACATTTAAGATTTTTCTCACAATAAACTGTCACAAATATATACTAGTGTAGTAAAAAAAACAGTGTCAGTAAAGCCCGAACTTGTCACTTCATTTGATGACTCAGGGGTCGAATAGTCGTACGCACCGTCCTACAAATAGTACCTATTGTTTAGCGAACGTATCAATACACCCTTAAAACCTGCTGACATTTTATAGCGACATCTTTTTTTTGGTAGATTGACGATTTATAATAATATCTTGTTAGAAAACCTTTTAAGGATATTATACTATTTATAGGGTTATAATAATGATATAATTTAAATCACACTAGTTCTCTCAATAAATTTTCTTTCCGCATTACTAAATTGACTGCTTCTTGCAATTATATAGTTCCTGTTTATAGATATTTCTTCAATTTTATATGATATCATTATACATTTGTTTTATATATATATAACTAGCTGTCGCGACAAACGTTGTTTTGCCTTAAAATAAAAAAAAAATTAGGGGTGGACTACCCCTAACATTTAGGGGGATGAAAAATAGATGTTGGCCGATTCTCAGACCTACTCAATACGCTCACAAAATTTCATGAGAATCGGTCAAGCCGTTTCGGAGGAGTATGGGAACGAAAACTGTGACACGAGAATTTTATACATATATAAGATGTATTTTTAAACTTTCGTGTTTAATATACATTATTTATATTATTAACCGGGTCTTAACGCGAACTAATTTTATGGCAAATAAAGGTATTTACCTTCCTCGACGTTTCCAGTCAGCTCGTGACCACGACTAGTGCAACCTAGTCGAAACGTCAAGAAAAATAGAAGAGGTAAATAGAAGAAAGACCAGGTTAATAATATAAATAATGTATGTTTGTGTGTTTATTTTATATGATATATTATTATTTATGTTTATTAATTCTATCATGCGCAATCTGACCTCTCAGTTAGTCAGAGGTAATATGTATTTATTTATAGTACCCTCATTATATAATGTCAAGCTGTAAACGACGTCGACTGACCGATATATATATAAGTTTGATTATACGATATCAGAGTCATTCATCATGAACAGAGCTCGCGAAGCAAACTCCTAGTGACAGAGTCAAAGGAATGTAAAAAATATTCAGATTTATAAAGTATAGAAATTTTTGTAGAAAATCTCTCACGGGTTCAAATAATATCAAAATTTAATTTAACAAAAGTTTGTGTTACAAAGAACTTGTATTAAATTTCCATCATCAAACAATAATGTTTAATAAATAAAATAAATATGTATTTTTATATTAATATATTGAAACAGCTCTTTATTAATGTTATTATATACCACCGTATTATACTTATTATATTACATAGTTTATGAATATTTAAGAGATAAATCATTTTAACTGGCTGCCTCTCTTCCACGTTAGTACGCTCAACAAAGTGCATATTATGTGTACAATTTACCATGTACTGTTAGTTATTATGCAGAAACATAATTACGCAATGCAGCCTTAAAATTTCCACTAATATTTTTAGCGAGTGATTAAATGAATAATAAATTTAATTTATGATTTTTTTATGGATCATAATGGAATGGTGCCCCCGCTTATGCTAACGTTTTACGATGGTGGGGCACCAGTGAAGGACGATTATATGAACATGAGGTTAGGCCGGTTTGCGCATCATGGCAAATGGCAATTTTTTTTATTAATAATTTACCACTAGGGAAAATTATATGGAGGTCAACCTGGGGTACATTGCAAGCAAGGTGTGAAACAATCCGTATTACTAACAATCCCTTTCCTAATTTATGTATTACCTAGCTACAATCCCCGGCTTCGCACGGGTGTATATGTATTATATGTATATATAACCTTTCTCTTGAATCACTCTATCTATTACAAAAAAAAAACCGCTTCAAACTCCGTTGCTTTAAAGATTTAAGCATACATAGGGAGCAATGACAGCAATGATTCAGTGCAGTTAGCTCATTATTTTTATTTATTTTTACCTATTTATTTATTTAAATCAGGCAGCTAATGGCCCATATTATAAATACCTTACAAATTAACATACCTATGAATAATATAATTATAAGAAAAAAATATATAAATAGTCTGTGTGATTGATTGAACGAATTCACCAGGTTTCCAGGAGACACTGCGTGGGGAATCAAAATATTGTTAGCGATTGACACATTACTAACAATCCTATCCCCCTCCCTAAAATATGAATTTCTTTGATTATTTCTTAACTTTTGGTGCTTTCAAATGGGCACAATTTTTATACCATTTGACATAAAGGCAGTTTGAGATCTTGGTGCGAATTAACTGTTTAATTCCGGTACCGCAAATGAAATATAATGTAATTAGTAAATAAAAAAATCACGAAATGTTTAATATTTATGGTAGTGTTTTTTAATATAACGATATTTATTTAATTTATTGGCATGAAGTATTGATTGGTCTTCGTACATCGACTAGGATGCACCATATGTAGTACTGAAATGAAGAAAATAATGTAATATTGTTACGAATAACATGAAGAAAAAGGATTTGATATTTATTTATTTGTTTTGTTTATTTATATAATAAAAAATATATAACCGATTTTTAAAATCGATTCACCTATACAAATGTATCAAATGAGTTTATAGAGATGACAATGCATCTTAGGTAGCTAACTGCTCGGTAGAATAGTGATAACAGAATATGAAGGACATAAGAAGTAAGAAGTCTTACGTGATTAAATTATTTTGTCATTAAAATACTTGCCATAATATAAGCCATTAACATCCATATCGATATTATAAATGCAAAAATCTCTGTCTATTAATACCATTTTCAGGACTAAACAGATGTTAATGCAATATCTAAAAATTGATTACACCATGACTATATACGCTATCTTTTATCCAAAGAAAACAGACGCAGGTAACATCTGTAGATACTACGATACATCCAGTTTCAAATAACTTACCACAGAGAACAAACACTATGTTTTATTAGTAAATAAGTAAGTAAGTAAGTCGTTTATTTGCATTACAGACAAGATAAATAAATAATTAAGCCACAGTGATGATATCAGCAGACAGCGCTGTAATATGCATTTTTACAGCAGGCATGAAAATTTTTATTACTAAGTTATAACATATCTTATAACAATTATATTCTATTTTAATATTTAACGATTATTATACAATGTTTTTTCTAATATTATTATTAATTATCATTATTAAAATATTTATTCTCATTATTTTATATTT